GGTTACCGACTGGATCCCTCGGGACGTCAAACGAACACCTGGACGACCGCCGGCCCGATGGTCAGACTTCTTCACGAAAGCTCTGAACGAAAGGAATGAAGGACTTCGTGTCCCTCGAGGATCCACTGGACCACTCTGCACGCGACAGGGACGAATGGAGACGTTGCTGGCGCCCGCTCGAGCAAATCGATGATCAACGGGACGACAGGTGATACAGGTGATACTTCGTATTTCTATGCGCATAAAACTATTGTTGAGACGATACTGGAGTTTTCTGATACACTCAATTGCAGAAAGGAGTTCCATACTATATCAACGATCGAATAAAAGGGAACCTGTGATATTTACTTGAAAATCAAAAATCAGGTGAGCCGGATGCGATAGACGTCGGTATCAATGAACCAAACGACACCCTATACGTTGAGACTCCTCAAAAATAAAATGTAATTGCAAAAGGAAATCGCGCAACGTACCACCTGCTTAGTGACAGAGCTCTGTTGCAAAACGGGATGTTGTGCCGGTTGTGTGGGTCGAATAGGCGCTACAGGTGGCGGTTGTGATATGCAGGGAATCGATGGCGATTCAAGCGCTACTGTAGGTTTGACTGCAAATCTTGGAGCAGCTGTCAGTGGAGTGGATTGACGTGGAAGAGTGGCAGGAGCAAATCCACATGCCAACACAGGAGGTTGTTGAACAGTCATACTGAAAAACTCAAAATATTCAAAGTTCGACAAAGATTGGAACAAGCACTAGCGGCTCATTTCTCACTTGAGTGCAATGTTGGGTTCACAGAATCCTATGACCGCGGTTTGCTCTGATTCGTGCCATTTCAGTTGTTGAACCGCACTAGGCTGAATGGATCGAATTAAGCACAATGCATCACTATTACAAAATAAAAACGCTGCAAAACGCTACCAATACAGGCGAAATTTTTGGCGTATCATCCGAGGTGGACACCAGGAAAGGGTTAGTACTTTTCCGCGATGGAAAGGGAACCAGATCCGGATCAACAAACAATGACTTTGAGACATTCTGTGGTTGTTGAGGAGGTAGTGCTACTCCAACTACTTCCTGAAAGATCTCTATTGCAATCACATTTCTACCACCATTTGGAGTCAGAGGCTTGTAAGACATATTGCTTACCCCTATGCGTTAGGAGAAAAGGCTGCTCTACGAACGACCAATGACATTCTAGCCTTTATTGACGTCGACTAATGATTTCAATTTAATGATTGAAATTTGGCTCCACCAACCTCTTCATCGTCATCCAAAGCGTCGTCCTCGAGAAGAGGCCGACTTCCAGCGCAATCGTCGTCGCTGGGAATACCAACAACATCAGTATGCTGTGATGATTCACCGTCACCATTAAATTCATCGAAAGACGATTCCTCGTTCTTAACACCATACAGACATACACTACATAGTATATAAAGCTGTAGCATGAAGATGCAAAAAAGACAACTGCTTCAAGCAAAATCAAGCCTTGAGACCCACAATCACCGGAATTCCCTTCAACCAAGTCTCAAGACTTCCCTATGATCATCATGTCATTTATGCTTTAGAATTTGTAATCTCGCTTCAGTAAACCGCACATAGACTGGGAATGTTTAAACATTGAGAAACATTGAATAAGCTGGCACTCTTCGGAAGAAATATTTGCACGAAATCCTTACAATATCTCTTAAAGGAATCCTTCGCGGAAAATTCTTGCATTCTTTCTCAACATGAATGTATCAGTTGTGATCACTAGATGCAATACACAAAGTTTTACGCATGAAGGTTCGGTTTCCGAAGAGAAAAACAAACTCACGAAAATCCATTCTATGGACAATCGAAGGTAATTCGGGCGGAGCCAAAGGCGGGGCATGGAATTCCGCACTGGGGCGCCTACGTATCAGGCGACGCAATGAAAGAATCGGTTAAAGCGTGCGATTTGGAGAGTAGAGACAAATCGATCGAGTAGAAGTTGTGAGATGGTGAAAACGCAATAAGTCAAAAGGCCAAACAGCTTTTAGTGCGACGCTCGTATACCAAGTGGAAGGCATCCGTTCCAATAGCAATTTGTGGCGAATGATGCGCGTAACTTGAACGACGTAGCAGCTTTTTGATTTTGATTTACAAAACAAATTAAGTTTTACTACCCATTCTAATCGTTATAATGCGGATTTTAAGCCAGGCAATGTATGCTGAAATTATCATGATTCTCCGTGATGGTATCTTAGATAAACGCCATTTAGTGCGAAGAGTCAGCCAACAAAATGAACGAAATTGTATTGTCAGAAGCCGCAGTTTTTTCAAAGGCACATACAAAGATAGCGCGCTCTATTCCTCTCAAGGGGTAGTATACATGGACAAAGCGTTGACTGTGCGCCCCATTGACCGCTTGAGAGGCGCGAAAGCTCTTGTAAACTCATTCCGACCCCAACCACTCCCTCACTACGCAAAATCTCCGCTTGTCTATGCGGTACGTCATGGCTTTGCGAAGAAGATAAGCATTTGGGCAGCGTCCATTTCGACCCAATGTCATTGGCCTGGAGAAACTAGCAGTCTAGTTCAAGAAACACTGTGACGCGGCCCTACCTATAACAGGTGAAATGCGGACATTGAAATAGGGAAGGTCTCTCGTGCGGGGATTAAATGGATGGTTGGTCTCATTTGCTTCCTTCCTCTTCTAATCACCATCCCACTCTAGTTCACAAAACTGAACGATTTTTACACATATTCTCCCAAATATTAGCCTTTAAATTGAGTTCTAAACGACACTCGAGTTACCACTCCTATGTCCAGGAGACAAAATCTACTCATGTATGAGCACACACAAGTTCTACATAGCTTTTGTTTACCCGTAACACACGGAATACACGTAGCTAGGCCACCTGAATAAGCGAGTCGATATCTCACGCAGAGATGATCAAGTTCATGCTGCCCAGGCTTAGGTATTGTGACGTGCTAGTGCCATCAGATTCTCGTCAACACACTACGTACATACTTTTCATATACATCTGAGACGCCGGTTCATGGTAAACTACAACTGCTGTCTCGTCTCTGTCTCACGTCTAATCATCTTTTCTGTAAACAGTAAATTTTTTCGTTAGAAAAAGAAAACAACTGCATGCGATCGGGACTGAGATAAGCAGAACAATGTGTGACTATCATCCCTTTCATTACCAATATTTGAGGTTACTTGTGTTGAAATCAGAAAATCTGTAACCAATGAAGCCTGATCGCCTTAGCGAACAATGCTTTATTCTATTTCATATCTTAAAAAACGGCCAATATCATTCAATTAATTTATCTACCACTCTCGAACAGTAAGCAAAATAGCACTTAGTCAACCAATTAGTTGAATTCTTAATTCTAGCGTCAGCAACCCCCTGTTTCCGTGTACATTAGAGCTAGCTGATGAAATGTAAAAGAGGATTCCGAGTGGATCTACAAACACGACCTGCCCTAGGCGGAGAAGACTTATGAGAATCATATCAGAGAGTACAACTGAGCGTTGAAACTCTCGCAGTCCACCTGCCACCCCCGGAACAATACAGCAATATCTAACATCTATAGATGGACTGTAAGATGAGAGGATCGAAAACGAGAAGTCACAAACATTTCCGGCTGGGTGAAGATCGGTCAGAGCTGTCGGTTTAGAATCGCCTCTGCAAAAACCCTACCGTTCCTAGTGATGAAAGTGAGATGTTCTCAATGTATATTATAATAGACAATGCACGGGAACAAGAATTATTAGCCGCCGGTTGACGTATTTGGCACTCCGGACTGGTGATGGCTGCTTGTTGGTGGTTGGTAGTTTGCATAGAGATTCGTATAGCATACATTATACGAAGTTATACGAGTGAAACATTTTTCGCTCCGGGAACATTGGGTCCACAGGTTTTTCGCTGCTGGAACCTCTGGTCCAAAGATGATCATCAGAGGCGGACCTGAGGTTCTCGCAGCCGAACAAAATAAGAAGAGATCGAGCCATTTTGATGCAGTGGGATCATCACCGTCGGAAGACAAATATCAAGGATGAGTCGATGCCAGGCCAGAGGATTTCCAATGAAAATGATATTTCACCCACACAAAATTTTCGTGATTCTGAGGCGTCCGGTAATTCTTAGTTACTTCAGTGTTTTATCACCACACAAGTTAAAGAATCTGAATTTCGCACGCTTTCCAAGAGATATTTCATCTTTCAAGTAAGACCCCGAATCTGAAGGGATGTTAGGTACACGGCGCATCCGAGAAAGGGTCTAGTTGTTGCGCGCACTTCAACTACGGCTCCTTGGACAAACGACCTCAATTCAGGAACATCGAGAGAATTCTGAAAGTGTCCGCGCGCATTTACAGGGAGGTGTACACCATTCAACACTGCGTTAACGGACTCTTCAGGGTTAAATTTATAAACATGTAACCTTTAAAGTTGAGAAACGCTAATCAATCACTTTTCTTAGAAAGAGAAAAGCAGTGATTTCAAATCTGCTCTTACTTTAGTACATAATCGCCCTTAAAAGGATATACAGCCGTTGAAATAGTGCCAATGTAGCGAAAAAGTACCTTTCGGCGGTACTCGTTGCGCGCACCACCCGCAATAAATCCTCAACGTAGCCGTTTTTTTAATACTGGACGTTTGGAGCAGTTCTAGTAAGCATTTGATAGAGCAAATCTTCTAGTTTATGATGGCGTATTTACTTTTCGGATTGGATGAGTTTGAACGGAGTTATGGCTTTAGGAAGTAAAAAAACTCGCACTCATCACAAATTTTCCTCGTTAATTTTGCGAAAATCCTCAACGTGGGCATTTTTCGAAATACTGGACGTATAGAGCTGCTTTAGCAACGGTTTGGTAGAGAAAATCTTCTAGTTTTGTATGACGTATCAACTTTTTGAATTTGACGAAAATGAAGCAAGTTGTTGCTTCGGAAAGTGTAAAAACTCGTGCTCATCTCGAATTTTCCTCGTTAATTGATCTAAATTTGTTATTTCTTATAAATTTCTGTAATTTCAATACTGATTAGAAAGAAGCTCTTCACAAAACTCCCAAATCTGCTTTCAGATTGAAAATTCGTCATATTTGAAGAAAGTTATAATCATTTGAATATTTGTTCAAATTTCAATAGTAATAAGCTGCTCCACGGTCAACGCCAAAGATCAGTCAGCACACAGCTGGCTAAGGCGGTTACAAGGCTTTTATCAATTGAAAGGGGGACGTTTAAATTGAGAACCATGATCTGTGTAGTACTAGAATTTGGTAAGTGTTATGAAGGAAATAAATAGAGAAGAGATGTTGTCAAGTATGCCATTTTTAGTGGCTAGTTTGTCGTTTTCTGGTCTGTTTCTCGTTTGCTCGTCTGGTAGGACTCATCAGTAATGATTATTCTTTGACTTTTCACATTTTGTACTTCTTAAACGAATTTTTTTGTGGGCAGTTTGGTGAGCAGGGCTTTTTTATGAGCAGTTTTGGGGGAGAATTAAACAAGCTTTTCAACCTTTTCATAGTTCGGCTTTTGAAGAGGGTTGTTTCATGGACTTCGGCCTCCGGGGAGGGTGGTGGGGGGGGGTCGTATTTCCAAATTTTCCTCAACGCCTCGCTTGACCCTGGTGGTGAGCTTGCCAAAAAGTCGAAATACAAAAAGCCATGCTCTGTATTATGGGTAACGTTTACGCATCTAAAAAATAATTCGACTATATATATAATGCGTCATCTTTTCGTCTGTCTTGTCGTTCTGTCACCCCGATATCGTAATAAGCCAGACAAACTTAAAGGTTGGCATTGTGGCGAGGCGTGGCAGCCGCAGAAGGTTACAAAAAGCACATATCCTGACGGAGCTCCGCCCACAGTGGGCGTGGTGTGCATCGAAATGAAGTGTACTGACGGCCGAGAATTCAGATGCTATACCAAACAAGCCTCGAAACTGGGCCAAAAAGTGGTGTAAAGGTGTGCATTGGTAAGTCACATCAAATTAGGGAAACCCATCACCCGGCGGTGAGCGGGGCGTTCTCTAAAAAAGCGGTGTTTTATGAAAAAATTTCATAACTCGGTTGGGAGAAAGCCTAAGACCAGAAAACAATTGTGGTAGGGAGAGCAATGTCTGAGTATGGATCCCAAGCATCCAAGAGTGGCGGAGAGGTTGCCCCAATGGCGATGCGCGCTGGAAGTTTACGTGTTTGACATAGTCCTCATAATTCGGCCGGAGAAGTTTTAGTGGGTCGGCAAAAGGTGGATGGAGGTGGGTGAAGGAATCTAGCCAACTGCTAATGGTGGGCGGGGTATGACCAAAGTGGGCGGAGTTTGCGACGGAAATTCATAACTCGGTTCCAAGAAGTCAGGAGTCGGAAAAAGGTGAAATTGTGCTTGCGAAGGAAGGAGATGGGTCAACTGTTATTGGGTGATAGGGGTGCATAACGATTTTAGGCCGAGTTTGCCCCACACTTATATCCTCCGAAGGGTGGATAGAGGTGGGTGAAGGAGTGGAGCCCAACCATTGTTGGTAGGCGGAGTTCTCCACAAAACTTTGTGACTCGGCTGCAAGAAGTCCTGAAGAGGATGGAGGGAAGAAGGCGAAGGAAAGGAAGTGAATTTCTAATGGTGTGCGGAGGATACACCAAAAAAGCAGGATTCGCCGCCAAAATTATAAATCGGCTCAGAGATAGTTCAGAGATCGGGTAAAAAGTGGGAAGAGGTTGGCGAGGAAGAAAAAGATAGGTGGGACATGCAAAGAAATAGGCGGAGTTTACCACGAGAGTTCATAAATCGGTCCGGAGGGTCCGAGGCCGAAAAACGGAACAAGCAATTCGTGAGGAAGGAGAGGCAGGTCAAAGCATGGCATGGACTTGAAGAATGCGGCAATCGGATAGAATTCAGCTTGAAAGTCAAATATTCGAAGGGCCAAGTTTGAAAATTCACGCCGCGCATCAACCGCATCATCGCCGCAGATCTGTGCTGTGCGCGCAACGCGTGCGGCACCAACTGGTATTTTAAGAAAGCATGAAGCACTTGCCGTTGATCAGTCCCTTTTTGAGATGTGGCACGCATTCTACTTCCCATTTGTGAATTCGAATGGCGTTTGAATGCGTTGTGGCCTACACAATGACTTGCGGGGGCCAGCCTATGTTCAAGTCAGTGTTTTTATCCTCCCAGACAAGTCTGGGAAATGATACGCCCAGGAGGGATGACAGGGCTTGAGGCCACAATGGTTTAAGTGCACCCAGGATTCGATGCTAGGCCGCAGCGCGTGTAAGCGTAGCATTGTGCAATACAATCACCACGTGTTTACAGTACAATCAATCAGAAGTAACTAACTTATCTTGTCTTCTAAAAAGGATGATGTCGAATTGAATAGATCAGTAAACTGACTAAAGACAGTCAGCTAAAGGAATGGCAATTTAAGTCCGAACACTCATGACAAGAGTTACGTGGACAGAAGAGTGGAAAATCATCAAGAGAGCAAAACGATAGAATCAAGTTTGGCCATTAAAATGCGTGACCTTATGCTTGCAAAATACAATATTGACGAAGGCATGGTTTGGTTTTCTGGCCATGGGGCATGAGCATTGGCGAAAACGACAGAATGGGCCCCCGATTGAGGCGCGCAACTGCGTCTCACGACCAACAAGTGTAATTTATGAAACAATGCTGAATACGGAAAGAAGGTAGGGAGACGCTTAGAAGGTTGACACCAGTTAGCAAGGCTTGCAGTGCGATTTCTACGATATATATTGATGTACGAGTCGTAGATAAAGGTTTTAAAAAAGGGATTAGCAGTTCAGTAAGTGGAGAGTTTAGGAAAGCTATATGAAATGCTAATGGAACCAAGTTGCGCATTTACGCTATTTCCTCGAAGGCAAAGAGTCGGAGTTGCCTGCGCACAGCGTTCCCACTCTCGACCTCCCCAACTCAAAGCGCTCGAAACAGGTCCAGCAGATGTAATCGAGCATATCTAACCATTTCATGAACAATGGCGTTTATGGTTAGGTTGATGAATTATCAACAGAATTAATACAATCAACCTGAGAAGAAGCCGCGCATGCGAAAAGGTGGCAAGAGTGAGGCAAGGGCGCAACCGCGCCTCAATGTCCTAACAAGCTCTGCAAAAAGAGACGCGCAACCGCGTCGAACTCTCATCAATGTATTGAAACGCCTACCTTTGAAATTTACATTTATAGACAAATCTAACTTCTACATTGCATCTGATGATTATATGAATATTCTTTTCACCTTTCAAGAGGTCGTACCTGTGTTCAGTTGCAGGAAAATTCTTATAAATAAAACAAGGGTCATGTAAAAGGCAAACAGAAATACAACCTTTCTCTTTCTCTGTTTTTCGGGGTAATTCATCGAAGCACCTTCCAAAATGACTATCATCCATCGTCGGGGAACTGCCGAATGGAGCCGCCATAAACGGATTCCAGATATCGTCCTGTAATGTTGCTAAACAATCGTAAATGAACTACGTTAACTTGAGTGCTCATGCAAGGGATATTTCACTTTTATAGCCAACATTTTAACCTATGCAGGCCTCAGCCGCCAGCGGTATTCATTCCAAAGTTAGGTCACCTATAGCAAACCAATTCTAGTCAGATTAGTGACCTGGTTGTACGATTGAAACATCTTGGCCTCGGCGGATGCGCAAGTTCTTGACTAGTTCAGTATACTGTACTCATTAGCAAAATTG